GCGGCCGTCAGGGCTTCAAATGCCTTCCTTTCTTCCTTTCCCCAGGCTAGGTCCTCTCCTTTCCCTCCGGTACTGGTGTACAGGGGCTTAGTTATTTCTGCGAACCCCGGAATCCAAGGCCTGGTGTAACCTACTGCTCCTAGGAACTCTCGAACCAGTCGCTTGGTGTGCAGCTGATGTATCCTCAGAATAGCCTCGATCCGACTAGAGGACAAGGTCCGTTTCTCTTTCTGTAGATTGTACCCTAGGTACGTTGCTTGGGCAGTGCAATGTTAAGCCTTCTTAGCAGATACCCAATAGCCATTCTTATCTAACTCCTGGAGTAAGTCCTCAGCAGCCTGTTTACACTCTAATTCTGTCTCAGTCACTAGCAAAAGATCATCAACAGATTGTAGAAGTACTACCTCAGGGTGCCTCTGGCAGAATTCGACTAAGTCCTGACTTAGGGCTTCATCGAACAGGGTTGGGGAGTTCTTAAGCCCTGAGGCAGTCGAGTCCAGTCAACTGTCCTGAGTAAAGTCTGTCTGAGTCTTCCCATTGAAAAGCAAAGATGGGCTGGCAAGCCTTGGCCAGCAGCAGAGTAAAGAAGGCATCCTTTGGATCTAGGACAGTCTACACTTGATGACTTGTGGGTAGTTGGCCGAGAAGAGTGTAAGGATTGGGGACCGTCGTGTGGATGGACTCAACTCGCTTATTAACCTCCCTGAGATCCTGGACAGGTTGGTAGTCGTTGGTGCCAGGCTTCTGTACTGGGAGCAAGGGAGTGTTCCAGGGGGAGTGGCAGGGAACTAAGATTCCTGCCTTCCTCAGCCTTCAAATATGAACAGCAATACCCGTTCAGGCCTTCTGACTGATAGGGTATTGACGTACCCGGGCTGGAGTAGCTGAGCTGGACAGAGTCACTATAATAGGAAGATGATGTGCTGCCAGACTGGGGGGATTTGCCTCTGCCCGGACACCAGGAATCCTTTGTTGCAATTCAGTTAACAGGGAGTTTTTAGGCAAGCCCCCCGGCGAGTTTGCTAGGGGCTTCTCTAGCAAAAGGTATTCCTCAGACAATGGGAAAGTGAGTGGAATGGCTGGTGGGGCTGACCCAACAGTCAGTTCAGTATGCACTTCCATGAAAGAGATCATGGCCTGTAACTTCTGTAGCAAGTCTCTACCCAGCAGTGGGTACGGGCATTCCGGCATAACTAGAAATGAATGGGCAATCGTTCCTTTTCTCAGATCTGTTATCCTGGCTTGGGTCCAAGGGTAAGATTTCCTTTGTCCAGTGGCCCCTTGTATAAGTGTCTTCCTCTGAGAGTGGGCCCTAGGCACTCTGTAGGACAGAGTAGGTAGCTCCTGTGTCCACCAAGAAGTTCACAGGCTTGCCCCTGTCTTGTGAAGTTACCCTGGGCTCGCGGGGGCTCATAATGTAAGAGCCCTGACCTCCTCATTCTGTATCCTCGAAGAGGATGAGGGGAGCCTTCTTTTGGGGGGCTTGCCCTTTTTCAGGGCACTCATTCTTCCAATGTCCCTTTTTCTTGCAATAAGCACATTGGTCCTTCTCTAACACGACTCTCCTGGGTCCATCGTTTGCCCTGGGTGCCTGTTCTCGGCCTCTACCTTTTCCTGGTGGTCCTTTTGGATTGGCTCCGTGCATGGTTGCAAGCAGGACCTTTGTCATCTTCTTAGTCTGTGCTATATCTACCTCATCTCTTTTGTTGAATACTCGTTGGGCTTTCTCGACCAGCTCAGACAGGTTCTTTCCTTAAAACCCTTCCATCTTCTGCAGTTTCTTTCTAATATCTGAGGCCGACTGACTGATGAAGGCTAAATTCACAGCCCTCCTATTATTAGGGTCCTTCAGGTCAATAGGGGTATACAACTGGTACGACTCTAAGAGTCGTTCCAGGAACGTTGCCGGTGATTCGTCCTTAGTTCGGATGACCTCGCTTACCTTAGATAAGTTAGTGGGTCGTCGGGCGGCAGACCGGAGGCCATGGAGCAGAAGCTGGAGATACTGTTGGAGAGCTTCCTTACCATGGTTGGTGTTGGTTGGGGTCCCAAGGTGGACGGGTGTCTGGGAGAACATGTTGGACGCAGGTCGGATCAGTGGAAGGCTGCCTGTTGGGCTATAATACCACTTTTGCAGGCTCCCTCAGGATCCACTCACGCTCCTCTGAGGTAAACAGGACTTGGCGGAGTTGCTGACAATTGTCCCAGGTCGGCTGGTGGGTAAAGAAAATAGTCTCTAGGAGAGAGGTTAATCCTTGGTGTTTCTCTGAGAATGAGGGGTTCTGGTGTTTCCAATTGTACATATCACCAGTGGAGAAAGGGACATAGACAATGAATGGCCTCCGGGTTTCTCCCCCAACCGGGGGAGCCAATTGCCAGAGTGGGGCCAGGACTGCTGCCTGGGTCAACGAGTCAGGGACAGGATCAGGGTCTTGTGGGGGCCGAAACACAACCCCAGTGCGGGTGTGGGGAGGAGTCTGGAGTGGTTCTGCTTCCCTGTTAGATGGAGACAGGAACGGGTCACGAGGGGAGTGAGGGGGAGGATTAGTGATCTCGAGATCCTCAGGGGGTGCCTGTAAACAGGGTAAAGAGAGTTAGGTGTCTGTCTGGAAGGTTTCTCTTTTGGCCCTTTTGGTGTGGAGAGGACGGACTTGGGAGTCACCTTTGACTCTTGGCTGCAGCGGCAGTCCTTCAAGTACTTGGGGGGCATCAGAAACAATATTGATCCACACATCGATCCAGTCGATCTCTAACACCTTTGCTAGAGATTGGCTGGTCTCGGCGATGAATGCCAGGACGTTGTCAGACCCCAGTGTTACGGGCAGGCCAAATCGAGGCACTATTTCTGAGACTAATTTCCTTGCTACTACCTGAGCGGTCTCCTGCTTAGTGGGGAAGGCTTCGGTCCACCCTGAGAAAGTGTCAATGAACACAAGCAAGTACTTGAATCTGAAGGTTCCCGGGCTGACCTCAGTGACATCCAACTCCCAATGTTCCCCCGGTGCCTGACCACAAAGTCTCGTCCCTTGCTGTATTTTCTTGGAGGGCCCTGGATTCACTTGTGCGCAGATGTGGCACTGGGCTGATACCTGCTTGGCCGTTGGTTGCAGCCCCGGAATGGAATAATCTCTTTTGAATAGTTCAATTAACTTGGTTCCTCCCAAGTGAGTGCTCTGGTGAACCTGGGTTATAAGGTCTCGGCTCAAGGCTTCAGATACTACGATGCAGCCATGCGGGAGCCTAACCCACCCAGTAGATTCCTCTTTGCCTCCCAGCTTGTTGCATAGTTCAACTTCCCCTGAAGTGTAGGTAGGGGTGTCTGTTAGCACCCTGGGCGGTACGGCCAGCAGAATATCAGTTGGTCCCACTGGTTTTCGGGCTGCCTCCTTTGTCGTTTGATCAGCGAAGGAGCTGCCTTGTGCTACCTCTGAGCCCGAGTTCTGGTGCCCTGGGCAATGGATGATTGCCACTTTCTTTGGCAGCCAAATTGCCTCTAGAAGGGCTAGTATTTCTTCCTTATTCTTAATTTCTTTTCCTCCCGAGGTCAGTAGCCCCGTCTCCTTATATGACGCCCCATGTACATGTGCCGTGGCAAAGGCATACCTGCTGTCTGTGTAAATGTTAACAGTCTTGTTTTCACCCCACCGCAGTGCTTGAGTCCCTGCTACTAGTTCAGCCCGCTGAGATGAAGTTCCATGGCTTAGGGCTTGTGCCCAGATGACAGTTTCAGTGGTAACCGCTGCAGCCCTGGCATACCTGACTCCTTCTGAGGCGAAGCTACTACCATGCAGGGTTCGAGGCAGGTCCATTGTCCCAAAAGAGGCAGCTTATAAAGCCTCGAACCCTGGTTTAACATCAAACAAACAAGCAGATTACGGAAGCAGAAGTTGGCCGTTAGCATATCTTCGCCCAGAACCACACCCTTAACCGACTTCTGCTGCTTCAGGATTGTGACTGGGAGCACTTCCTCAGGAAGAGGTTCCGCAGTCCAAGTCTCCCGGCTTTCCGGAGGTGCTGCTCTCTTTACCAGGTGTGATGGATTCATGGGGGTGATATCTGCAACTTTAATAGCAGTGGGAGTTCTAATATAACAGTGTGAGCGCCTGTCCAGCTTGGCCGGAGCTGCTTCTTTTTTCCAATCTTTATCCCGTACTTCACCCCCAGGCTGAAAGGGGAGGACCCAGATCTGCATGAGGATAGGGGCTCTCTCTAAAGTTTCTTGAATGATGCTGAGGAAGATTTTCCCTAAGGCCTGAAGGTGTTGAGACATTTCTAAGTCACCTGTTAACCTTGGGGCTCCTTTTAACTTCCCTACCAGTGGGGGAGGTCTCCCATAAAGAATTTCGAACGGGGAGTAGCCTGAAGGCCTTGGCGTGCATCGCGTTCCAAGTAGAGCTAGCGGCAGCATATCTATCCAAGGTAGCTGGGTTTCTTGAGAAAGCTTAGCTAGAGTGGTTTTTAGTGGTCCAGTTCATACATTCAGCTTTCCCTGAACTTGTGGCCTATTGACTGTGTGGAGCTAACATTTTAGGCCTAGAGCTTTGGACAAGGTCTGGACTATCTCAGATAAAAAGGCAGGTCCATTGTCTGATCTATAGAGAGAGTAGTCCATATCTTGGAACCATTTTCCTCAGTAAGGCCCTGGCTACTTCTCGTGCCTGTTCAGTGCACGTAGGAAAGTCTTCAACCCATTCAGAGTAAAGCAAACCGACGCAAGCAAGTATCAGTGGCTCCTGCAGGGCTCGACTTCAGTAAAGTCCACTTCTAGGTCTTCGAAAGGCATAGTTCCAGTTGTTTGCACCCTTGGATTAGGCCTTGGCCTTTTTTCAGCATTATTTCATGCACAAGTCACACACCTAGCACTGATCGGGTATGAAATAGTAGCAGCCTAACAGGTTTTCTAAAGAAGTCTTCCCCCGGTGACTTAATTTGTGGTGTTGTTTTACTAGCTGAACTGCCAGCACAGTGGGAACAAAGAGTCTCTGATCTGCAAACTTCTACCAGCCCTCCTTCTTTCTGACTCCCCCCTTCATTTGAAGTCCATTGTTCTTCTTCTTTAGTGTATTTGGGGATAGAGGTAGTCCTGGTGCCAGGAGGACCTTGGAGATTGGTCTAGGATCCATTGCGGCATTTAGTTGATGGGCAGCTTCCTTTGCTGTTCGGTCTGCTAGTTGGTTTCCCTTGCTGACAAGGTTGAGTCCTCTCTGGTGACTCTTGCAATGAATGACTGGTACTTTTGAAGGCTTCCAAATTGCCTCTAGTAGTTGAAGGATTTCTTCTTTGTTCTTGATTTTCTTTCCTCCCGCCATCAGTAATCCTTTATAAATGACTCCATGTACGTGCAAGGTAGCAAAGGCATACCTCGAGTCGGTGTAGATATTGGCCCATTTCCCTTCAGTCTGCCGCAGTGCTGGATGAGTGCCCATAGTTTGGCCCCCTGTTCTGACCGGCCCTGTGGTAAGGCTTCAGCCCTGATTACCTTCTCAGCGGTTGTTATTACGTAGCCGGCTTTGCGCTGTCCTTCATGGATGAAGCTGCTCCCATCTGTGAACAAAACTAGTTCTGGGTCCTGAAGAGGAACATCTGTCAGGTCCGGTTTGCTTGAGTAAATTTTATCTGTGACCTTCTCACAATCATGGTTGGGAGTCCCCTTCTCAATGGGCAGAAGCATAGCAGGGTTCAATGTTCATATGATTTCAAGACGATCTTGTGGACTTTCACAAAGCAGTCTCCGATAATGAGTTATTCTGGCGTTGGTTAGCCATTTATTTCCTTGATTATTCATTAATGCAGTCACAGCATGGGTGGCCTTTACATTTCCATTATGTCCCAGCATTTTGCTTCTCTGAGCAGGATTACCATGGCAGCTAAGGCCCGAAGGGCAGTGGCTATCCCTAGCCACCAGATATAGCTGTTTGGACAAATATGCAATTGGGCGTTGCCATGGCCCGACCGTGTGATTCTTGTCATGTATGAAAAGTTTAAAGTCCTGTGTCATGTCCGGTAGTCCTAATGCTGGGATGCTGGTTAGGAGTCTCTTTATTTCTCTGAAAGACTTTTCTTGTTTGGAAACCCAGACCAGGGGATCTTTTCCTGGTCTGTAGTTCCAGGTCTGTGGCCTCATACAATGGATTGGCAATATCTGAGAAACCTGGTATCCAGATTTGACAGAACCTGGCTGCCCCTAGGAA